GGCCGCCGTCATGCTTATACTCCTAAGTATCCACCGGCAGTTAAAGCCATGCCAGCTTGCAGACCGTCTGGTCTGCCCTATGAACGATGACGGAGCAACAGCGACAAAAGTACGTCAGAGTTTGCTACATTCATGCTTGCATTTACCTTATCTCTGTCATGCCGCAGCATTATCGCTTTGCAGCTTTGCTTGAGTTGACCTTGTGGTTTGATCGGTTGCCATGCAGTTGTCAGCTGAGTTTGTGAATAACCTGGTGGCTGTGCTCAATGTCCTTGCATCCCAAGTGGCGACAGCTTTGGACACCCTGAACTTTGCCTTGATGACGGAGCGTGGTCGTCCGACTGACACGGTGGTCACCCCAAGAGCACCAAGAAACTCCAGACATGGGTTGCGGCCCCGCATCATCACGGAGCACCCCTCATCTGACAGATCTCGATCACCCGCACGCATTCGGGGTCGACCGCTGGACACGTCATCTACCTGGTACATACCGGCTTTGTCCCCGCCTCGAGCGGCACATCGTGATGCTAGTGACCACAATCCGGGAGCTCGGCCCGAATCGATGTTGGATCGACTACCACCTCCTCGTCCCCTTGCTCCTATCGCGATACACGGTGGACGAGAGCCAGGACAAACGACGCCTACGACACCTGATTCGGATTCTGATGGTTCGATACGTCCGCATCCAGGTGCCTCGTCGTTCCGGCCGTCGCCGACGGTGGTCCATGGTCCTCGTGAACTTCTACAAGAATTTACCATTGCACTTCGCAATGCGTACCGTGAACCTTTCACGGCATGGACACAGGGTGAGCTGGATGAAATGGTGAGACGGAAGAAGGATAAAGATTCCAGGCCCACCTATAAGACCATTGCGCGGTTTCTTCAGAAGCCGATTGAGGAAGTCAAGCAGGCATGGAAGGTCTATCAACAACTTGAAGCTCGCGGCTAGCAACATGCCCGACAAATGCAGCAACGACCATTGATGGACCAAATGATACGCAGCGGCGGTGTGTCCGATTCGCGTTGTTGATCACATGATATTTGCTTGCTCGCATGTGACTCAATCTTGCTTGTCGTGTTGTGCAATGTCGTTGACATGCAGTGATGTCTTGCCTGAGTTGCTCAAATCATGTCGGAACAAGTTGTACAGACGTACATTACCTGGACCCATGGAGCGCAGCCGACGTGGTTACAATTTCATGGACCCGGGGCTCTACTCGACAGACCCATACGGTTAACTACGTCACCTCCGCCCCCGCCAAGTTTGCCATTGCTTCTTCCACCTCCTCCTCCACCACCACCACCACCACCGGTGATTCTTCACCCACAGTTTATGCCCTCGGTACGCAGCCCCACGATCTCAGCCCCTCGTGGACAATCCTGCTCTACCTCTTCGAAATCGCAGCGCACACGCCGCTCGATCCACAGCAGTGACCCCTCCCGTGATGAAGAACCACGCAGTCCAGGGCCCTCGTCCAAACGATCTCGGACAGCATCAGCTTCGGCGCCGCGGCGATCTCGACGGCCCTTTACAGTGTTTTATTCCAAACGTGCAGGCCGTCCATCGCAATCCCCCTCGGCGGCGTGCAAGCATTACTGTCACGCCATCCTGCGCCATGGACGGAAATGTCTTTCCCCTTGTGCTCGTAGACGGCCAGGTCACTATCATTGCAGGTGTGCGCGACATCAACGACAGTGAAAGCTAGGAGTCTGACATTTCCGACCTCGTTGCTGCGTTTCATCTTGTGTTTGAAAAGTTGCCTCACTCTTCAGTGTGTATGTGCGGTTGGCAATGCATGTGTGTCCTTGCCGCAGACTTTCGATTGGTTCAACAGTCGTGCAAGCACGTATTGCTGCTATGAACCCCCAGTATTTCGAGTACCAGATCGATAGAGGAGTGGAATGGATTCGAATTTACTCTCCGGGCATTTGGAGGCCCGTTCCCGATGAGGCGCCTGTTCCTGACCCACTGTACGCTTCCACGTATCGGGAGTGGCGCAGATCATATCACTTCCAAGTGTACTGGTCTGAAGACAGCACCGGTGGAACTACAATGGATCCTATAGCCACGCCCAGTGCCTATGTGTCCTACCACGTGTGGGAGTACCGGGACTGGCAAACACGAGGTTATCAACGCCTTGGACCTCCTGTACAATCCATGGGATTCGCGATGCTCGTCAATGCGGACGTCGAGTCCTCGGTGGGCTCGTCGGTACCGGATGGGGCGTGGCGGGAACCGTCACCGCCGCCATTCCATGATCCTTGGAATGAGTCGGATTGATTCTTGAGCAGCATGTTGGACAAAGATGCGGTTGTGCTTGCTTTGTATGTGTGCTCACATTGGGTTGTCTTGCTTGGTGCTGTGCATGTCGTTTCAGGGTGTCCGCCGCTTTCCGTGCTACCTTTGAGCAGCTTGTTGGGTTGAAATGTTCAATAGTACAGTGCAGGGTGCAGCACGATGGGTCCTACCTCGTTATTTTGACTATGACATCGTTCATAGTCGAGCAGGAACGAGTGTGGAATGGATTCGAATCTATGTTCCGGGTCAGTGGCATCCAGTAGCCCCAGACACCCTGGGACCGGCCCCGGATGACTCGACCACCTATCGGGAATGGCGCAAGGTCCATCACTTCGAAGTGTACTGGCCCCGGGAAAGCACGGGCGGCACAACCACAGGCACGGTTCTGCAACCGGTATCTTACGCCACTTTCTACACTTGGTATTACAGGGACTGGGTCACCAGGGGGTATCAACGCCTGGGTCGTCCACATCCTAGCATAGCGAGGCCAGTTTTTGCTTCGGGCGCACCGGACCTCATGTATGCTGGAATGACTTCCTCCTCGGCATCATCTAATTCGCCTGAGAGCTGATGCCCGCCCTCGCCTCCCTGGAGAGTCAGACTATGATGCTGGCGCCGCACAGTGTTACAAAAGTGGTCTTTTGCATTATGATTGTTGACTTGCTTGCACTTGTTGTTGTCTGCAGCCGTACCCCTATCAACTTGTCTTTCCGTGGTTGTGTTGTCATGGCGTGGCTGGAATGGTGCCCGGACCCTCAACAACCAGATGCCCAGTGGGTCAAGATCTTTCATCCGGGACCGTGGACGCCGCAAGAAGAACATGATGATCCACCTCCTCCGCACACTTTTAGAGAGTGGAGGGAGTTCTATGCACCCAACCAGGCCTCAGTCGGAGAGCAGGCCCAAGTCACTATGTGGTACAAACGAGACTGGGCCACAGAGGGCTACCGACGAATCGCTGCCCCTCACGCTGGTCATGAATTTGACTCAGGGTATCCCCCCGATCATCACAGCGTGGCCACGCAGTCTGCGGCATTGACTATGTCGCCAGAGCTGTTAGACGCGATTCTCAGGTCCTCGGATGCAGCTGATTTCTCTACTGAAGAACTGACTCGTCTCCAGGAAGGGATTTCGCAACAACTGACAGCTCGCGCACGTCTAGCTTCCCATCCTCATCAACCAGTACGTGCATCGCGTGGAAGCACATCATTGGAGACGATTGGGGTCTCCGACCCCTACCGGCCCGTTACTCCTTCCGACAGTGGCCGAGACAAGATGAGTCCCGTCTTCGAGCTCACTGAAGACTAGACTCGCATGAGCAGCGCAGCGTACGAAATAAGGGTGATCTTTGCACTTGCATGATTTTGCTTGGTTGTTGGTTGCTGGTTGAACTTGGTTGTGCATTGTGCTTGTTTATCTACTAGCCGGATCGGAGCCCGCGACAAGTCTTGCCTCTTGCCTCGACATGGACATCGATGATTCGAAGCAGCACCCATGGCTTGAATATTCAGTCTGGCATGATCAGGAGTGGGTGCGGATATACACTCCAGGACATCCTCAACGATGGCACCGCGGGGACGCCTTGCCAGATGTCCCTGAAAAATCGTTTCGTGAATGGAGACGGGTGACTGAGCCCGACGCGCCAGTCCAAGCATGGGACATCCGTGACTGGCAACACCAAGGGTACCAGCGCATCTTGTCTCGGATTGAGTCATTCACGACTCGCGATCCACATGATCAGACGCTTGGTCGAGTTCGAAACTCCGATGCCGTTCCAGTTGAGGAGACATTCACCTATGCCACTCCGTTTTCTCAAGGTGATCGCCCGGCTGCTTCGCAAATCGCTTCAGTCCTCTATGGCGACACTCGCAATGCTCAACGTGGTGATCTTTCGTTCCCGTCTTCTGAGCGGTTCAGGGCGGTGTCTCGCTCCCCTCGCCGTGGAGGATTTTTTGGTCAACGATAGACAATTGAGTGTGAGCATTTGATCTTCCAGCAGGAGAAAAGAGAAACTTCGCCCCTCGTAGAGGGGCGTGTGTGTGTGTGCGGAGTGACAGAATGCCCTGTCACCACCCTTTCGGTTTCGCAGCAGGGGGATCAGGCTTCCAGTGACTGACCTGATCCAACGAAGCTAGGTCACTGGAAGGGAAGTAGCTGAGGACGCTCAGCTACGTACCTGCTTCCCAACAAGGTCCCCTCTTTGCCCGCGGAAATCAAGCAGAAACTCACCGTACTCGAGACTCATCAGTTGTACTCGAGACTCATCAGTTGTACTCGAAAGATTAGCACTCTCCATCTGGAGTTTAAGTGTGTGTGTGTGTGTGTTTGTGTTTGTGTTTGTGTTTGTGTTTGTGTTTGTGTTTGTGTTTGTGTTTGTGTTTGTGTTTGTGTTTGTGTTTGTGTTTGTGTTTGTGTTTGTGTTTGTGTTTGTGTTTGTGTTTGTGTTTGTGTTTGTGTGTGGTTGTGGTTGTGGTTGTGGTTGTGGTTGTGTTTGTGTTTGTGTTTGTGTTAGCCCAGTTCAACCCATGTCTTGGTAGTTCAGGTTACATCCCGTCGCTTGCTCACCGAAGCGCATGTTAGGGCGGCAGATGTTGGGAAAGACCTGAGTTCTAGCTTTGTAGGATATTGCATCTTACCGTGTTGCACGCTTACTTTCGGAAGGAGATATCCAAACCCCAGGTTTGGCGGAACTTTGACCAAGGAACCACGAGGAATCGAAGACGTGTGACCTCTGCGCGACAATCAAGCCGCCGTCACCTGCCCTGAGCCAGGCATCTGCGGCGTCGACGCCGCAGATGCCTGACTCCATTCCGTCGAAGGGTACAAGTCTGTAAGAGAATGTTTGAGCGCGCTGGTCTTTATCACGGATTGCAGCTCTGGAAGCTCAAAAAGGTGGCTGTACCCCAACAGCCCTAACTCGAAGTATTCGAGGAGGGGCGTGGGGTTTTCTATTGTATTTGTCAGAGGAGATGCAGGACAGAGGGGCTTGGGCCCTGCCTAAGTTTCGCAAGACATTTTCCTGGTCACTCCGTGGCCAAATGGGCATGGGCGGCTTTTAGTCTTGCTGGTTCTCAAAAGGAGTCTCTCCGCCTGAAAAGTCTGCGACTGCGCCAAACAACCCAAGTTGTACGGTTCACTCGCTTTTGGCTTCCCCTCGAATCAGGATTCGGTCAGCGCAGTTTCTGGTCAGTTTGTGGGACAACAGCCAAGTTTTCCCACGAAAGCCCAGTGGTGTTTTCCAGGTCCATAAAGGTAACCACACATTTTCACCGTGGATGACGTGTTAGCGTGGTGAAATCGTGCACCTTTAGGTTGATCTCCAAAGTTGTTGAGGGCTAGAGCATTCATAAAGGAGAAGGGTCTCTAGGGATGATCATTTACTCTTCGTCAAGTAATTCGATCGCATCGTGCCGTACCCAGCGTCGATTCAAGCAAAGGGTTTTCCCACCCCTTAGGGGGGGCTTTGTGGAAAAGGCTGGAAACACGCATTGCCGCATATAGCAGCATTAGTTCCTTTTGGGGAATTACCAACAAGTGAAACTCTATTTCAATGGGCAAGATCAGATATATTTCATGTCTGCGAGCCACGATCAAAACTCGGGTAAGTGAAGGCGAAGGGACAGTCCCAACCAGAATTGGGCGCGGCCGCCTTTTCAGTTCGTTGGTTTGGGCAAAACGTGCCGCGAGCCTTTTGGGCAGGCGGCGCTGTCCGCTTTCTCTCAGAAAGCAGCAGGCGAGCGAGCGCGAGTCAGGGGCATTCCCTGGGTCCATTTTAGCACGACATCCGCAATCGAATTCTAAATTGTGGTTTGAGGGGAAACCGGGTCCCAAAAGTAATTTGGATGACTTCTGAAAGTAAGATGGTGAGGTACCACGCCATCCACAACATTGCTGAGTGCAACAACGCCTAAGCGCACATGGTTTTTGTGCGCTAGCATGGTTGGGTGCATATAACCTCTTTCCAACAGGAAAGAACTCGGTCTGTGCACTTCCATATTTGTTGGTACCCATGATACCCATGATTTGGTTTTGTGCAGGCAACTAAGCACAGGCGAGGCAGGCATGGGTGAGGTTTTGGGATAAGCGGGAATTGGGGCCCGCATTGTGGCTGTGAAAGCCACAACACCTTTTGGCCGGCTGTATGGAGGAACATTTTGCGACTGGAGAAACCAATATTTTGACGGAAGCTTTTGGGGGAGACGAGGTGACCCATGTTTTCTTCAATTTTGTGAGCAACCCTCAAAACCACTCCGAACAAATCAATAGACTGAAGTGAAAGCAACATGGGCTCAGCTGAAGAAGAAAAGGAAGAAGAAGTAGAAGTAGACGACGAAGACCTCCGTGCGTCGTTGCCCCGCCACAGGAGACTCACCCAGGACGGAGTCCCGGCGGGCAGCCGGTTCGGTCACGAGATGGGTGTTTTTTAGGAAACAGGCTGGTAAAAAGCCTGGTATTTTTTTGTGTTTTTCTTGCTGTTTGCTGCTAGGCTGTGATGCGTCGGGAGGGCTGGAGGGGGGGAGGGGGGCGGTGGGGCATATTACCGTCGTCATAAAAGGCTTGCACGCACACGAACACATATGAATGCACACGGGCTGGCAACAAGCATCTGGAGAGCCACCATGTCCATCCCAGAAAACATGAAGTTGCTAGAAGAGTCTCTGTGACGAGGAGAGCACGCAAACGACCCGCTTGCTTCATAGTGGGAACTCAACGTATAGACAAATGGTATCATTTCAAGACGATATAACAACTCAGCTGCACTCGAGTGTGTTCCGCTACATGCATCGCTTCTTTTTTAAGTATCAGCTTATGCAAAAAACATGGGGTGTTTGACAATTTACCGATGCTGTCCTAATTCTCCCGTTCGCTGCCAAGCATGAGCCAGAGATGACAAATTGCAGAAAAGCCAGGGCAAAACACGTGTGACACAGCTTTCGCCTCCAGGTATTTTTTGACAGCCTGCAACTTTTTTTAGGAGGCACCCCCTTTTGGTTGGTTTCAAGGAGACTGCCATATTTGGCCCAGGGCCTATGGGCAAATTCTTTCACCAACGGGTGAAACGAGTTCTTTTTAAATCCCGAACCCCCATCCTTGAGGCTTCAGGTTTGCAAGACTTGCAGTCGATGGTCCGTTTCAAAGAACTGGTTTGGATTGTTGACTACGCCAAAGGTTTCGCTGGACCCGAGCCGCCCGAGGACATTTTGTTCGACGGAGCATGTATCTTCCTCAAAATGTGGACAAGCTGCGCAACACCGTATGGGCATGCTTGGTGGAAATCATAGAACAGCTCATGTGCGTTTCCAGTTGACTAGGAATCATACCCTCTTGACAATGCAAATGCAAATTGTCGGGGCTGCGGGGTTGCTTTCCGCATTTTCCTTCTCTGCCATCCTAGGTTTGACTCTGTGGAACACAATCATGCTCGCATGTGTCCATGTGTCAGCACTTGCCGGTGGCAGGATACCGCGGATTCTGCATCAGACCTGGAAAACAAATCAGGCAGGGTGTGCCTGCGGACCCTTGTTTTGAAACAAAGGATCCCTTCGAATGTTGATTTCTTCACGAAACCCCGCAACAAGAACTTTGATTAGTGGTTGGGTTCCTTTCTTGGAGGGGATCGGTCCCCCTAATTCGCGGCTGGTGTGGATTAGCATGGGGGCGCCCTTTGGGTGGTATTGAATGGCGCCAATAAGCCGGTTCATTTTGGGAGATCCAACTCCTATTTTAGGACATCACCACCCGTTTCCGAATTCAAGACGAAACATAACACGGACACGCGAATGAAGGGCCTTTCAGAAGACAGCGCGGTGCAACGTGCACAGATCACCACTCCACGACTGGTTCCTTTGCTTCCCACAAAGGGCAACAGAACTCACGCGGTCCTGGTCCAAAAATGGGCTGGGCGGGATACACCCTTAGACATTTGACCACGACACTGGGACCCTCAATGCTGACTGCTATAATGGGCGGTTTCCTCAAATCAGGGGCGCTCCTCTCAACGCAATAGAGAGTGCTTCCTTTACACAACAAGGGAGGGGTCCTCGAAAAACAGAAAAAAACACAACGCATGCCTTTCCAGCCTTTTAAGCGCATGTGGGAGTCGAGCGGGTATACGATCCTCATGCCCCCTTTGGACGCAGGTGCCGGCGAAGTTTGCGCGGCACCTGAAGTCCTGGCGGACGTTGCATCCAGGCGCACATATGCCGACATGTGATTTTACTGTATGGGGCAACCAACCCGAGTTATCCCAGTTTTATAATATATATATATATAATTATATATATATATATATGTCTATGTATCAGCGACTACCTACTGAGTGGGTCGAACGTCGGAGTGTTGCAAGCAACCAGGTGTTTATCCCTCTAGGCTTTTTGCGTGATGGAGTTCTTTCGGTACCTGCTGTACCGGTAGCTGGAAGCGCTGGGTATAGAGCAAAAAGACAAGGAGGCGGATGGTGGGTTCAACATTTCGGGTCATCAACAACTTTGGGAGGACGTGAAGGAGTGAACATGAATTTCCCGCAAATAATGGGGGGGGGGGCTCACCATGTCTATGTTGACTGGCTGCTAGAGGGAGTTGGCTCCCACCTTAGTGGCAGGGAGCCATCACCCTGATTGAAATGAAAAAACAGAGCTTTGTTTTTTTGGTTTGCTGGACAACCAACTCCTGGTTTTGCCTCAGTTCTCGAGGCCCGGGTCAGTCGATCGCACCAGTATCGTCACCTGCAACCTATATTGGTGGCATGTTGATGCCCTATTCCCATCAAAGCGTTTCAGGGACCGCCAGATCAGCTTTGGGGAGAGGCGACCTTCCTATCTCTTCACTGTTTCTGGCATGGGTTCTATTTGTCTGCTTGTTCTATTTTTTGTGAGTGGCGAAGAACAAAGTGGTTTGCCAACAGTTCCAGGGCAGTGTTGGGAAATAAGTTGTTCGTCGAACCATGTCAGTGTGAACCTTGCCCATCATCACCGCTTTTCTCTCTGAAATAAACAAAAGGCTATGCGATAAATGGGCTTTGATCCTGGGACAGAACAAATATTGACAATGCCTACCCGCCACATGCTTTTCGCGGGAGGTGGACAGCCTCTCAACTTTGGGTGGGTCATCAGAGGTGCCAAGGCCAAACCTCAATTCTCACGTCTCGGAAAGGGCGGGATCCGGGCCACAACCCGGGCCACAGCCCCTACCACTTCCTCAATTGACCTGGGTTCATCCTACGCCACGACTCCAGCGGCCGAAGACCGCAGGCTGGCGCTTCGAGTTCTGGGATGACCATCGAAGCGCGGGGCCCGTTGAAACCTGACTGCCTCATGTCGCTTTCAAAACCCACCCCACCAATGACCCGGGAGTAATCCCCCGCTGATCAACATGGAACTAAAAGGAGGTTCCTCGAGAAATAGCAGGTTTTGGGGTTCCGTGGTCATTGATAGAGGTGTGCAACATTGGGAAAGGTTGATGAACCCAAGATGACCCCTACCATTCTAGGTGAAGAGATAGTCCTCTCGAAGGCATACCAAGTTGTTCCAAGAGATTCCTGCCTTTGCCCCCGTTTTCGAGGGCTGGTCTTTGAATTTTGGGATGCCTTTTTTGTTTGGGGGAAGGGCGGTTGGGATGGTGCCAAAGAAAGGAATGAAGTTGTGTCAACAGTATGCCTCAAGGAAGCCTTGCCACTCGCACGCGAGATGGCGGCTGCATGTTGGCAACTCTGTACGGAGGTAGCAACATGCTGCGCAAAAGAGCCGGGCAATGAAGATATCCATCCGTCGTGGTCCCAGGGTTTGTACCTATGGCGAGGTTTCTAAACAAACATAGCGCTTCACAAATGGTTCAAGTTCCCCGTTTATTTCCAATTGTTTCCGTTGAAAGGAACATCATGTAACAGCCATGGAAAAAAGAAGGGACCTCATTTTTTTTTTTTTTTTTGGGGGGGGGCATGATTTCCCAAGGTCCTTTCCAACTTTCGACAGAAAAAAAGCTCCGCGTTTACGTCACTCTTTACATGACCCGGTCCCGTCGCCTCGCCAGGCCGGGAGCTGGTGGCCGAGAGGCCCAAAACCGTCGAAGGAAGTCCGGAGTGTGTAAAACAGCGCCCGCACCCATACGTATGTGCATTTGTACATATATATATATATTATATTATATTATATATATATATGTATGTATATTTATAGATAGCATAGACAAAGAACTGGCACGAGCAACTTGGAGAGCATCTGGGTGGTCCATATTCCCTTGCAAGTTGGTTATTTGTTGTGGGTCTACCGGTTGGTGTTGATGTTGTCAGAAATCGAAATGTGTTGAGGGTGCCTTTTGTGGGCAAACGCAAAGTGAGGTGAATAGGTGTCCTCCTGTTTCCGTCCCTTTACGGGATCAAACATGGCAATTTCATGTTGCCGCTTGGATGGCTCCTCCTTTCACAGCGCGGTGGTTGGGTGGGAAACATGTGCCATTGGATGGAGTTCCCTTTACAATCCGTGCAAAATCTTCCCCTTTGCTTTCCTTTTTCTTGTGGAAATCCTTTAAACTTAGCTGCGCTCCATGGAGGGGCCATACAAGATACGCGGAATTTCACCAGTCAAAATGCCAACGGCGAGCACGAGGCTCACGTGTCAAGTCCCGATGTCCTTGCTGGTGTTATCGTTCATAGGGTTCCACCGCTGCTTAGCAAGGGTGGTCGATACGGGTATGTGGCGACAATCGAGTTGGACCCGTGCACGTTGAGACAGTTGAAGGCGCATCCACCTCATTTTTGACACATCCCTTATCATATCCCTTTGAGCAAGGGCTGGGAAGATGAGCGTTATAGTGTTGTCATAAGCTTGGGGACCCTCCAAATAATTGCCTTCCTCTTGGCTTCCCTTTAAACACCGGCCGAGCGCCAGGTTCCCGAGCCATCTCCGGCAGTACGACCGCATGCCGGGAAGCTCGGATGCTCCGACAGGGACATCGAGAATGGGGTTTCTTTTTATTGCGACCTCACAAAAGGAGGTTCCTTCTTCTTCTTGTTCTTCTTGTCACGTTTCTTCTGCTCATTTCGAGGTTACAAAGCTAGGGACTGGCCAATGTTTTGAAACCCTGTTGTTGGGTAGGCCCATGTAGAGCTTTCCCAAACGTTTGTTCGTGGCTTCCTCTGGAGGTATAATAAGCTGACAAGTGCGCCGATGCCTGCTGTACGTGCTCATGATAAATACACTTGATAATCCCAGTACCTATTTGTATAAGCAGTGAATATGGCGTTTGATCAATCCTCATATTGCCCATTGACTATTCGGCAACATGTTCCATTGCACCTTTAAGACGTTATGCGTGCGTTTTGCTCGTTCTCACAGAGAAGGCTCTGGCTTCGGTGTGCAAGGCCAGCATTTGGAACCTCGGGGAAACGCATCTCGCGGTCACAATGAGGTCCTTCAACAAGCTCAAATTTAAGTATGGTGTTTCTAGAAGAAACCTGAAAGGTCTGAAGCGTCTGCTCTGGAACTGACAAAAGCAGGCAAGAAGGCTAGCCATGCTACCCTTGCACGTACCTATGTGTGCCATATGTTTATTTATGCATTTGCAACTGCTGCATGTGCATATCCTATATAACAATATACGTACACCTTTATGAACCAAGCACTCATCCGAGCTGTACCCACATTTGCATAACCTATATCACAATATACAAAGTTATTAGCCAACAGCTCATCTGAGCTGTTTATGTGTGCATTTAAAACTGCACCCTTCATAATATACACCTTTATGAACCAACAACTCATCTGAGCCCAGAAATTCCCTCCTGACCCAAGCCTTCAACGGATGGCTAAACCTCCGTTTGGCGTGGTTTCAGTTTCAGTTTCATGGCTGGGAGGGGAGGGAAGGAGGGAGCCCAAATAAGCCCTTCTTAAGCCCTCAATAAGGCCTTATTAAGCGAGTTTACTTGGGCTCGCTCCCTCCTCCACTCCCTCCCCCCCCAAAACCCCCGGGCCCCATGTTGTTTTCTACTCTCGGCGCTTCCTTTTGCCGCGGGAGCTGAGGTCCGGCATCAAGCAAGCGGACATCGCGCGGCTGGTGGCCCTCTTCGCTGTGGGGGGCGCCTGGAAGCCAAGCAGTGCTTTCCGCGGGGCCCCGGAAAGACACGAGCCGTTTGCGTGCTTCTCCCTTTTTTGGGTTGGGAGGTGGATGTGGGTCACGTTGAAAGAGGCCAAGCACAACAAAAGGCGGTGTTTGTGGTTTGTTCCCAAATGACTTCAAGGCTCGAAGATTAAGAGAAGCCGTTGCTGGGTGCCGGAAGAAATGCAAAATGAGACCTCCACATAGTTTGCTTTACCGTTCCCTGGTTTGCCCAGATCAACGCGCAGTTGAACGGTTGTGTATTGCACGCTGGATTACACCCGCTTCACTTTGCAACACTTTGGACCAGGGTCCGCAGCCATGTTATTTGGACCAATTTGGTGCGTGTGTGTTTTTCGAGGCAAACTTCCTTGGGTTGTTGTGCAGGCCAACCAATGCGAAACCACCCTTTTTTGTTCGGGGGTTGCCCCCATTTAGGAAACAGACCCAATTGTGCTTTGGGGGCCTGAAGCAAATGGATGTGTCCTATTTGTATTGTTCAGAATGCCAGAAAAACATGAGTAGCACGAACTTGCGGTGAGTAGTGCCCGAAGCTTCCACCATTTTGGTAGTCGGTGCCCACTACCCGGCTTCGCAACGCAAACACAACAACTTGAAAAGCAATGTTGGTAGAGCCGAAGTCAATGGGTTTTGGGCGCTTCTCGAGTTTTTGCTCAAAGTTTGTTGGCATCTGAAACTTCGTGGTTGCACTCCAACGCCCCGGTGCCCCGCTGTTCAGCACCCTGTTTCCTTCTTGTTTGGCTCCCCACGAAAGACGGGCTACCCCTTACCTTTCGGGTCGCTGGTTGCAACTTGGTGGTGACCTTCCAAGTTGCTTGGTGCAAACCACGGCACCACCATGCCCGGCAGGTCTACGCTGATATCGACGCGCGGGGCTTGGGGCGGCAGATGGGTTTCCAAGAGTTGGCATTGAATTTGCCACATTGCACATTTCACAAGGAGTTTCATTCTGGTGCTTCACGGAGTAGCCGCAAAAGCCGAATCGGGTCAAGATCGCTCGATGGCAGGCAGTGCTGGGCGCTACGGGTCACGTTCTGCCGGTGTTCTCTCAGACTAGCGCTCCGTTCTCCTCTGTTCCAAACTCTAAAAACCATCAGTTGCCAACATACCAGCACAAATGTCAAGTATCCAGAACAACATAGAACACACCACGCAGGTTTGATACTAATGCCAAACACATACCAACCACTACAGCAAGCAACACATACGAGCAAGTATTAATAAAGAAACAAAGCAACCAAAAAAAACGTGCCAGGCAAGACAGCGCATGGCAAATAAATACCAAACAGTGCAATAAGAAAACAGCAACACATAAAACAATCATAAATACCTGCCAAGCCACAACACAGCGTACAACAGGAATACCAACAATTGCAACAATACCAACAGCTACCAACACAAATACCACTCATACTACAAATGTCAACAATGCGGCAAAAATACCAAACACTTCCAAACGATGCTAAAACAACACAATTCATACCAAACGACACCAACAACTGCCAACAGAAAAAGACAATGGCAGGCATACCAGACAACACATACACACCAATGCCAACCAATACCTACAAATGCACGCATGGAAAATACAACACATACAACAAATACAAGACATACCAACACATACCACAACACAACAGAACAGACAAATGCCATACCAACAAATACCAGAACAGTACTTGTTACAAGGGGATCATCAAATACCAAAACAGGAAGTACCAACAAGTACCAACAGAATTCAAACAAAGTGCAAACCACATTCCATAACACAATACAACAACACTACCACAAACAACACACTCAAGAGATACCGGGTTTCCTCCATGTCCTTTTTTGGAACCTCCAAAAGCGGCGATCGTTTCAAGGGACACCACAACTAAATTGATCATCTAGGTCCTCCAGTAGTGCCCTTTACTCTTTTCTGGGGGAGGGTTCCCCCATTAAGATAGACTACAGAAGAAAGAGACGGTATCCCTTATTCTAAGCTCTCTACCTAGTCATTTTCCAAGCGTCCCCTGTCTTGTGCAAAAAAGGAACAACGCCACCCACCCAGGTGGAGGCCACCCGGTCCCTGGAGCCCTTGCTCTGGGCAGCGGAAGGTTCCGGCGCGCAGGTGGTGCTCGGCCGGGGACTCGGTGGAGGCAAAAAATGGGTCTGGGTTGTTTGGTCATTTGTTTTGCGGATTCCCTCTTTTCAGGCTACGCTTATTTGGTGGTTTTGATTGGTGGTTGCTATTCTGGGGCTTTGGGGGGTATTATCCAAACCGCCAATTAGAGCCAAGTTGAGCTTTTCGGTTGGTTTTAAGGGAAGCCTAAAGAACAATCAACATAAGGAAAAGGAAATTAACGTTGAGACATGCCCAACATGGCCCAGTGAGTAATTTACCCAAAGCGAACCAAAGGGGGATGGGTAATCATTTGATTTTTCCAGACCGATCTTTTGCAGAGGGAAAAAGGGGGGAAAGCAATTACGAGCAGAAGAAAGGCCTTCGCAAGGTAAGGGTTACTCACGGGTTGCCTCGATGCTCATGTGGCACTTGAAAGAACCCACCCCAGTATAAATTCGGGCTCTTTGGGCGCATTCTGCCAACCTGCGCTTGGGTTTCCATTTCAGGGCCATGCTTCTCTCCTTGAAACAGGGCTTGGAGCCCGAAGGTGGCCGCTTCTTTCATTTGTCTCTGTGAACCGAAGAAATGTAGCCCATCCTTTAAGGCAACTCAACGTGTGTGTTTTTCAAGGCAAAGCTTGGGTTGGTTTGTAAATGGACACCGCGAGAAACTGGAGAAGAGTTATTTTTGCCTCCGGGATGGGATGGACAAGTTTTCCAATCAATAGGTTGTGTGCTCCTGGCCGATTTCAAGTGAGTGTCATTTTGGTGTGATTTTCTTTTTGGTGCCCTAGAGGTTGCCTGGATAATCCCAGTGCCTAGAAGCTTCTGCCACGGGGCTTACAGCATTCTTCCGGTAGACTGGGCATGGGGAAGCGCAACCCATTTTGCCCCAGAGGCTGAAGGCTTAGGGCAGGTTCTCAAGACTTGGAATGTGCGCAAGTTCCCTTCGCCAAGTGGTCGAATTGTCACTGCCCTTCAGCGGACCCAGGCGAAGAGAACTTCGTCCACTCGGTGCTTCTGGACCCGTGCGCTGTCTCATGCGGCCCGATGTCCCCTTTGGCCGCACTGTGTGCTTGGGGTGAACTCAAAGGACCCCCTGATGTTAACCGTGGATTGATCAACCCCAGTTTATGAACAGCTCATTCATGGACAGGTCTTCGCCTCCAATCGTGATGATTCCCCACTAAGCCATCAACTGGGGTTGATATTTCCGGGGTCAACATTGGTCTACGGGGATACCCTCTTTCGCGGTATCCCTATTTCAACCAAAGAGGTCCGAAAAGTGGCGTTTGCCCGGCGGTTAGGCTTCCATTCCACGAGTCCAGCCCTTTGGTTCCCAGATTTTGGTTCTTGGCCGATGTTCGGTTTGAAGGCGCTGGTTGTTCTGTTCTTTCCCTTTTGGTCCTCTTCAGAATGCTCTTCTTTTTGGGCTGCTCCTTGAATTTTTGCTACGGATCCACGAAAGCCACCTCCAGCCGGTTTTTTGGATCCAAAGACTTGGTGGAGAAGCTTCTAAAATCGGTTTTCACGGAAGCCAGACGCTAACTCGAAAGTTCTGTGTTGGTGTTATTCCAGTAAGAAGTAATTACTATGTTGTACTTACCAGTGTTTGGGATCTTGGTCATCCTTCTAGCGTCCAGGGGCAAGCTGCAAGATTCTTGGGTTACGAAAGGACCAACGGGTCCCTTCTTCTTTCGTCACCTAGAGGGCAACCAAATCAAAAGTGGCGGGCGGACGTGAATTTCCGCCTAAAGATGACCAGAAAATCAAAGCATTGCTGCCTGCAAGCAGGGTCCGATTCTGTTGCGCAAGCCGGTCGACATGTCCGAGCTCGAAAGATGCCTTTCCCACTATAGAAGGCCATATCCCCTGCGTAAAACGCAAGAAAGAGGAACAGAAGGAAGGCGGGTCGGTGTCAGGAGCGCAAGACAGATCCACTGGCCCGGGGCCCTGGACGGGCATGGGTTTGTGGCTTCCTTCGAGGCTGCAAACCTTCATTTTGGGGTGAGGGAAACTAAATAGAACTGTTGTTTTTTTGTTTGTTTTTCTCTTTTATTGTTGGGGGGGCTGCCCATATTTTGACACACACGCACCACGCACACACATTTTGGATCTACCCTTATGGCTTGCATTCTGGGCGTCAAGTGAGCCATAGTTTCACGGAAGACTCTCATATGGACTCATATGGTAGTGAAAGACCTTTTCAACCAGAAACCAAAAGGAGCGTCACCAAATTACATTTGTGCTCTAATGTTGAGTCAACCCATATTTTTGCCAGACGCCCCTATTCAGCACTGTCCTGGCTTTTTTGCACAGGGAGATGCTGATTTCACATGTTCCCAACCCCCCCCCCCCAATTCAACCCCCCCAAATGGAACTTGTTTCATATTTGTACGTCTACCCTGTTGGCGTTTTCTGCCCGTTTGAGCTTTGCGAGTATAGGTGTCCTTTTTAGGTAAGTTTGGTTGAAAAAAGATGGCACTGGCATTTGCCAGGGCCATCCATTTTTCCCGCGAAGGGAAGCTGACCTTTGGGCACAACTTCAGAAGAGTTTCTTCTAAGGGTGATGAGCTCTGCCAGTGGGGCGCTTTAAGCTCGTTTCGCAAAGCGAAGGGATTGCTTCTAATTACTCAAGACTTCCATTTCCTGAAGAAACAACTATGTTCCCCTGTGGTTTTAAAGGGAATCTATCTACTGTTTTTTTTCCAGGGGACTGGAATGTCTTTTTTCAAGTAATTCCTGTTAGAACAGGGCAGGGGGAACCGTTCTTTTTTCCCGGAAGCATTGCGAAGGGTTCTTCTTCTAAAAGCGGCTGCCAACTTCACCTGCCAACTTCTCATGCCAACTTGTCGAGAGTTACTTCACCTGCCAACTTCTCATGCCAACTTGTCGAGAGTTACTTCACCTGCCAACTTCTCATGCCAACTTGTCGAGAGTTACTTCACCTGCTAACTTCTCATGCCAACTTGTCGAGAGTTACTTCACCTGCCTACTTCTCATGTCAACTTTTCGGCTGTTATCTCATTCTACTAAAAGCACAAGCTAATTTGTCGGGTGTTACTTCACTATCCTAAAAACACAAGCTAACTTTTCTGTTCTACCTTCACTTCTCGACTCTTAATTCTTCTTCTTTTTATGGCGGGGGTAGGCCCGACGGGAGCTTACGAAACGCACCCCTCTGCGGAGATCGTGCGTGTCGAAGCGCTCTCGCTGTGGCCCCGTGCGAATTTGTCTTGAGCCCGATGAACCCTCTGCGGAGATCGTGCGTGTCGAAGCGCTCTCGCTGTGGCGCCGTGCGAATTTGTCTTGAGCGCGGCGAACCCTCTGCGGAGATCGTGCGTGTCGAAGCGCTCTCGCTGTGGCGCCGTGCGAATTTGTCTTGACCCGCGAACCCTCTGCGGAGATCGTGCGTGTCGAAGCGCTCTCGCTGTGGCGCCGTGCGAATTTGTCTTGACCGGCGAACCCTCTGCGGAGATCGTGCGTGTCGAAGCGCTCTCGCTGTGGCGCCGTGCGAATTTGTCTTGAGCGAACCCTCTGCGGAGATCGTGCGTGTCGAAGCGCTCTCGCTGTGGCGCCGTGCGAATTTGTCTTTGGCGAACCCTCTGCGGAGATCCTGCGTGTCGAAGCGCTCTCGCTGTGGCGCCGTGCGAATTTGTCTTGAGCCCGAACCCTCTGCGGAGATCGTGCGTGTCGAAGCGCTCTCGCTGTGGCGCCGTGCGATTTTCTTGCTCGCGAAACGGCTTTTGGAAGTTGTCTCGTGGTGTGCGCGCCTGCTTTCGCAATCCCGCGGTCCCGGGTTCGATTCCCCCTGGTCCGCGGCAGCTCCGGCTTGAAAATCGCAGCTTTTAAGTACAAACGTAGTGGCTTTTGGAAGTTGTCTCGTGGTGTGCGCGCCTGCTTTCGCAATCCCGCGGTCCCGGGTTCGATTCCCCCCTGGTCCGCGGCAGCTCCGGCTTGAAAATCGCAGCTTTTAAGTACAAACGTAGTACGCGGAGCGTGCTCCTGCAGCTCCGGCTGGAAAATCGCAACTTTTAAGTACAGACGTAGTACGCGGAGGCTGCTGCAGCTCCGGCTGGAAAATCGCACTTTTTAAGTACAGACGTAGTACGCGGAGCGTGCTCCCGCAGCTCCGGCTGGAAAATCGCAACTTTTAGATACAAATGGCTGGAAAATCGCAACTGTAAATTGCAAATGTAGCACGCGGAGCGCCTCCGCCGCTCCAGCTTTTTGAGGGTTAATTACTTCACCTGCCAGTTTCTCATGCCGAAACTTCGAGAATTACTTCACCTGCCAGCTTCTCATGCCACCTTTTCGAGAGTTACTTCACCTGCCAACTTCTCGTGCCAACTTTTCGAGGAGTTACTTCACCTGCGAGCTTATCATGCCAACTTTTCGAGAGTTACTACACCTGCGAGCTTCTCATGCCAACTTTTCGAGAATTACTTTACCTGCCAACTTCTCATGCCAACTTTTCGAGAAATACTTTACCTGCCAACCTCTCGTGGCAACTTCACCTGCCAACTTTTCGAGAATTACTTCACCTGCCAACTTCTCATGCCAACTTTTCGAGAAATACTTTATCTGCCAACCTCTCGTGGCAACTTTTCGAAAAATTACTTCACCTGCCAGCTTCTCATGCCAACTTTTCGAGAGGTACTTCACCTGCCAACATCGCCTGCCAACTTTTCGAGAGTTACTTCGCCTGCCAACTTCTCGCGCCAACTTTTCGAGAATTACTTCGCCTGCCAACTTCTCATGCTAACTTTTCGAAAGTTACTTCACCTGCCGGCTTCTCACGCCAACTTTTCGAGAGTTACTTCACGCGCCATCTTCTCGTGCCAACTTTTCGAGAATTACTTCACCTGCCAGCTTCTCACGCCAACTTTTCGAGAGTTACTTCACCTGCCAACTTCTCATGCCAACTCTTTGAGAGTTATTTCACCTGCCAACTTCTCATGCCAACTTTTCTCTTGAGTTACTTCGCCTGCCAACTTCTCATGTCAACTTTGCGAGAATTACTTCACCCGCCAACTTTGCCAGCCAACTATTCGAGAGTTACTTAACCTGCCAGCTTCTCATGCCAACTTTTTGAGAATTGCTTCGCCTGCCAACTCCTCATGCTAACTTTGCGAGAGTTACCTCATCTGCATCAACTTGCCTCTATGCTTCCGGGCCACTCGTTGTCTAGTTTTACTAGCCCCGGCTCGGGGCTTAACCCTGGCTCGGAGACTGGCTGGTTGATTGGTTGGTTGGTTGGTCAGCTGGGCGGCCGCATCCCCAGCATGCCCAGCATTTCCGGTTTCTTGTCATGGCTGCGTATGGGGCATGACTTGATGCTCGGGATAACCGACCGCATCGCCAGCATTACTGGCCTCACTCGGACGAGAGCTGCCTATTGGCTTTGGTTTGGTGGCAGTTCAGGGTTGATCGGGGCTGGTGCTGGGCTTGCTGAGGTATTAGTGAGGGCGGGTCTTGGGTTTGTTTGGGGTTCATTTAGCCTCGGCAAAGGGCCGATATGCAGGATGCAGTTGGGAGGGTTTCAGGTTGACTTTGGGTCGGTTTTGGCTTGGTTGGGGCTGATTCGTGCTAGATGTGCGGCTGGTTTAGCCGTGGCTTTCGGGTTGCTTCAGGGATGTGGTTCTGCAAGTTTTGGGCTAGGATTGGTGGTTTGGGGCAACGCCCCACAACCAATCCCAAACCAGCCCAAAACTTGCAGAACCACATCCCTGAAGCAACCCGAAAGCCACGGCTAAACCAGCCGCACATCTAGCACGAATCAGCCCCAACCAAGCCAAAACCGACCCAAAGTCAACCTGAAACCCTCCCAACCGCATCCTGCATATCGGCCCTTTGAGGAGGCTAAATGAACCCTAAACAAACCCAAAACCCGCCCGCACTAATATCTCAGCAAGCCCAGCACTCACCCGAAACCAGCCCCGATCAACCCTGAACTGCCACCAAACCAAAGCCAATAGGCAGCTCTCGTCCGAGTGAGGCCAGTAATGCTGGCGATGCGGTCGGTTATCCCGAGCATCAAGTCATGCCCCATACGCAGCCGTGACAAGAAACCGGAAATGCTGGGCATGCTGGGGATGCGGCCGCCCGGCTGACCAACCAACCAACCAACCAACCAACCAACCAACCAACCAACCAACCAACCAACCAACCAACCAACCAACCAGCCAGTCTCCGAGCCGGGGTTAAGCCCCGAGCCGGGGCTAGTTTAAAAAAAACACCTCAACCCAGGGGGCATGACTGGCAAATTGCTTACTTTTGCTAAGCACCGACATCATATTGGGAGTTGAAGTTCCGCCAAGCAAGCTGAGCGAAGCTCCTTCAGGGACTTGATTGTCCCCCAATTGGTGGCTTCCCAGTTGTTTTCCAGAGCAACCAGGGGTTCGAACCCCCAAACACAAAATTAACCACCCATGAATCCAATCAAGAGCAGTGTTTTGGCAAAGGCACCTGTCGGTCGTTTTGAGACGCACTTCTGCCGGCAGTTTGCAAGGAATCGATACAGACCGGAGATCTTTGGATGGATCAAGTTGCCATGTGAGGATATCCGAGGATTCTGATACGGCTGTGTCCTTTAACATTTCACTGGTTCCCCCCCTCCCGTCAACAATAGCTGCTGAAACCTATTCGTGACCCATGAAAACAAGTCCAGTGAACGTCCCCAAGCTCGGCCGGTAGGTGAGCAATGCTGTGATGATGGGCGCGCCTGGGCATCCCTTCTGGGAGGAGCCGTGGAGACCCAAAGGCTTGTGGATGAACTTCCAATTTTTGCACGGCTCAAGGACATCGAAAGGGGGCTCAAGTTGATCAACCAGGGGGAAAGAAGGGAGCGCCTTTTGTTGGTTACAAGGACATCCAGAATGAGATCGGTTTTGAACAACCCTCGCAAGCCATTGAAGATACCTCAAAACATGAGGCATGGGTTGGCATCCACAAAAAGCGGGCTGGAGGGTCTGGTTTGTTTGCAAAATGGGGCACGCCCTTAAACGGGTCATGGTTTTGTTCTTTTGAAGTCTGCACTGAAACGACACCATCGAAGGGCTCCGCACGCTGGCGTTCGGGGTTCGACGTATGCCATTCCCCATGCTCTTCTTAAGAGTATTTCCGTTATGAGGATGAAGCCTTTACGTGAAGTTTGCCCACCTGGGGTGGTTTGGGGGTGGAATCATTTTGGACTGGTAGCCGAGCTGCAAGCCCAGTAGCCCCAAGTAATGGTTGGAGATGCCAACTTTGGAGTGTCCAACGTCGCGGGTTGCTCTTTGGTTTGACAGAAACGACCTTTTTGTCAGTGGATTCACATAAATGCACTTGACCCTTTACCTGTTAGCTTTGACTTGTTGAAGCTGAGGGAAACCGTGCCAACCTTTGGGTTGGCAACCATACTGCTTGAGACAATGGCTTATTTTTTTGTTCTCAGGAAGCTGGAAGGACGCCAACTCAACCATTTTCCAAGAGTTCAAGTCCATCTGTTTTTCACCATCTTTTTTTGTGTTGACTGCTCCCTATCCAAAATGAGCCTAAGGAGCATCCCCAAAACCATCGGCAAAGAATCCTACCGGCCCTATTTCCGCTCGGAATCGCCCAGTGCTGGGGTGCACCTGTGTAGAACAAGCCGGGGCACCACGTCGGTGAGCCAGAAGTGGTGAGTAAGGGAGGTCCCCATGTATAAATTGCAATATCTGCCCTCTTTTACATGTGGCCATGGGTCAAAACCAATGGTGGATAGGTGCACCACCCATTTTAGTCTATTTTAGTGGGGATTGGGATGTTCACTTGGGGTACGGGGTGTTGACCCATGGCCATGTCATCTTGGGCCAAACCTTTGGGAGGTGTGACTCAGCTGCTGGTGCAAAGCGCGAGAGGCTGGCTGTTGCCAGGAAGTGCTGCAGGAGATCTTCAGCAAGTCCTGGTGCCCGGGCCTCGAAGACGTCAAAATGGGATCCGGAAGTGGGAGACATCCACTTGGGTACCCTCCCTCCACACATGGCACCTGGGAGTTGTGTTGGAAGATCAATTTTCTTTTGAAGGGACCAGGGAGGGTACTTGAAACCTTCGGCCTCCGGGGTTCTCAGTTTTTCCCCTATGTACCCGAGCTTTTTGAGTCTGGCAAAACCAGTGGGATGTGCGGGAGTGGGAAGCCTTCGGTTTGATTCCAATCAAAACTCGGAGCATTGGTATGGGCCCCTAGCAACCAATCTGATGCTGTGGATGGACGAAAACCATTTCGCACCACCTGAGAAAGCAATGGTTGAAACCCTAACCTTTTGGGGAAGTCCCCTGTCCAAATCCATGATTGTTCGGAGGGTAATCACCAAAACGTGTGAGGGGTTTGTTTCCCCAAAGAAACGAGTAGAGTTTTGGGGGTCTTGAGCAATGTGGCGGAAGCAACCAACGGATGCCCCGCTTTGTTTTTCCCATGGCCACTGGGCGTGGAAGCGGACCCCGCTGCATCGGATGGGGAGCCCCGAGGCGGCGATGACCCGGTGCAGTGCACAGGGCCTCGTATCGTGGACCGCGTGAGCTGGGAGCACCTGAGGCGGGGGGGTCGGTGGGTGTGATTATATATATATATATATCTGTTCTATGTGTGTATAATATATATATATATATATATATGGGCTATATGGGTTTTTGTGTGTGTGTTTTTGAGGGAACCCTTTTTGGGCTGGCTTGAGAAGGGAACCAAAACGAAACAGCTCATTTTGGCAGTTCTCCTGTTTTGAGACAAACCCACACGCACATTTGATATATATATATATATATATGCATACACATGCGTTGGGCAGGAGCAGTTTACCTGCACTATGATTAACTGCCTAGGGCTGGTTGAAGGTCGCCAAAATAAACGTTAGGATCAGCAAACATGTACGACAACCATGGCTTGGGATACACTGGAATCGTTCAGGTGCACACGGAAGCTGTCCAACATGGCCAACGACTTATATGTTCAGCCTTTTTTCGCACATTGATTTGTTCTCCCTGTTGGTTGGGAGCATAGCCATGACTGATCAATATTTCTCATTTCTGGGGTCTCCTTGAAACTCTTTGAATTCCAGGGCCAATATGATCAGAAGAAGATACGAAGTTTGCCGTGTGCCCCGGAAGTGGACCAAGTTGCCTGTTGCATAGGTGTCCTTTTTGGTTGGTTTGGTTTAAAAATAGAGGGCCCTGGTTTTCCTGGTGGTTCAATCAACTACCAGGGCCATCTATTTTCCCAAAAAGGACACCTATGGTCTGATGGCACCAAAACCCCTTCGAGAAGTCTGGACTCTCCGACGGAGGCGCAACGTGGGCTGCCGGCAGAAGGGCTGCGCCGGGGACTTACTGGGGGAGTGGGCAACGAGGCCAACCAAAAGCAGAAGGCACGAGACTGGCGAAATTCAACCATCGTCCAAAAGACAAGACCCGTAGAACTGGATCTTGAGAAGTTTTCTGAGACTTGGGTACCCTTTAATTGGCCATCAGCAGTTGCTAGTTTGCCCTTCTTCAGTGGCGGGCTGTCTTTGTTTTGTTTTTTTCCGGATTTCAAGCCCAACCCCGGATTGCTGGATGAGTTGCCTAAGAGCGCACTGCATGCCACGTCAACTCAGGTAAGAGAAACACCAATTGCTGAGCCAAGGAGATTCCTTAGGAGGGATCTGCTGGGTTGCGTGTTAAGCGGAGTACCCTCAGCATGGCACCTGGAAGTTGCCAGAGCTACCCAGGAGAGTCAGAGCTAGCAGCTGCAGTGTACCTATCGGGGGGCCAACAAAGACGCTCATCAGATATCGCCTGCATGTGTTTTCGCATTTCGGTTTGGGCCCGATTAATGAAATGGTATTGGAGAGAGCTTCAAGAACATGTGCTATAGAACAACCCGGGTAGGGAGTCTTATCATTCCAATGAGATTTGAGAGGGGATTTGTAAATGTTTGTTTTGTTGGGCCACCCCTTGACAGTGGCAGACATTCGAAAAGAGTGAAGTAAACGGAACGGCTATGTGGGTGCGTCGTTTTTAGGGGAAACTTGTGGCTTTCCGTTTGATTTTCCTTAAAAACCACCCACCAAAGACGGGCGTGGTACCATTGTACCGTCAAACAAAGCACACCCTTTGTATGAACAAAAATAGGGATGGTTGAAAAGGGAACTATAACAAGATATGAGTCATCTACAGGGGTTGGTTGATGCCACTGGTGCGACACGCAGAGGTGCATTGTGCTTGGTACACGGGCTCCTTCTCACGTCCCGTCCCATTTGGGTGTTACTTGTTTCAAGAATATTGTTTGCATTGACGACCTCATGTGAGTGCGTTTGTGCAACTTGTTCTTTGTCTCTTTTGTTCTGATCATTTTCAATCTCGCTTATCAAGCGGTGGGAGGTAGGGCTGAACAAAAAGTTATTGGTTTCTTGTTTGGGTTTGTATTGGTTGCCAATGCAAGAAAGTCTCGGGCCTTGAACCAATACTCCTCTTCTTGGATGGAAGGTTCAAGCATATTTCAGCAAGGGCATCTAGGATCCTTCAGCACGTGTTCCTTGCAGCTCACCTGAGCAACTGACAATGTTGCGGGGTACATCCCTGCGAACTAACCTGGAATGCAGAAAATGGTGGCACAAAGGAGATGATTTTTAAGTTCCATGCGAATCTGCGTGAGTGTAGTTTGGGGAAGACATGAGGTCCTGCTCAAATCCCCCACGAAAAGCCTTGCAGGGGGCTAGACCACCCCACCTCCCCATGTTCTCTCGGCAAGGAGTCAAATATTACTCGTAGCCTGACCAAGCCCACAAATGGAAGGGCATGGGGACAACCCACATCTTCCCCAAAAGAAGCTAAGGGCCCGGGCCCAAACTTGCCCGGGTCCTTTTGGTGAAGCACCGATTTGTTTGCCCGCCAAAGGTGCTGCGGCTGCCTTTCGACTTCTTCTCCCCCAACATTGCGCTCTGGAACGCCGGCAACATGGCCCACGCCCAAGGTGAACTTGGTTCTTGGAATCTTAGTGGTTCTTAGAAGGATTCTGAGAATCTTTTCAGGGCTGGGGCGAGCGGGCAATGATTTTCCCTATCCACAGAGTATAATTTGACCTTGGAAAAAAAAGAGTGGCGTCTCAGTGTAAAGACTCTTTAAGGAGGTCACTCTAATCCTGGTCGGAAGACGACAACCTTACACCGCTCCTTGCTGTTGAAGCTTGGCGTTGCATGTTGCACGTGTAGGAGCGATTCTCTTTGGCCAAATTTAATGATGGGTCTTTGATGATGTCACCACCTAGCTAACGATTCGGTCTCCCAGCTCATCGTCTTTCATTTGTTGAAATGGTAATTGGAGCTTCAGCAGCTGGAAATAGAGGGGGTACTGGAACTAAGATCCAGACCACACGGGCACACCCTCCCCATGATTTTATAAATGGGTCAGCATGAATGGGTGAACTCGACACGCAGATGCTGGCAAATGAACAGAGCCAAACACAAAAACCTGGACAACCCATCGAATGCTGCCCCGAAGGTACTTGGGTGTTGAACATGGTTGGAAAAACAGTCAGTGGGCAGCGCTGGTGAGGGTTGTGTGATATGTGAGGGAGCCCGGGTTATGTTGACCCCGATTGATTGCCCCGACTGAGGGGAAGCCGGAAGCCCCCAGGAAAGAGAAGACTCTTGAGGGCAGTTTGAGCGCAGCCGACTTACTTCGATGCAAGCAAGCATGGCGTGGAACAGAGCATCTGGGCAAGTTATAGTGAGCTCACACACGGGGTTTGCAACCTTGCCCATGTTTTCTGAAGGTTTCTTTCTTGTTGAGGTAGATGATTGTTAGGTTTCAACCAGAAAAACGTGAACCTCCACTTCAGTCAGTAGGCTTTCACGGGAGACAGACAAAGCATCCACATGTGCATAGTTTGAAAACCGGGCCTGTCCTTCTTTTTGAGGCTAACCTTTCTGGTGTGATTAAGGAACCACAGGGACACCACATTTGATGGTTTCCCCTATCCTGAGACAAACCCACACACGGCGTACAGACTTTGCGACATAGCCACATTGGGGTGATGTTCTTGTCTAAAGTATGGATTGGCCCATTTGTTTATGATGTGTTTTCTTGCTGCTTCCTTTTCCCTGCTGTTGACTGTTCACCTTTTGCTTTCCTGAGAGTTTGTTTCCGGCGTCTCAGTATTCCCTTCAAGCAAGGGCCCTTTCACTCCAAATCCCAAAGTAGACTTGTTGTGGAACCCTGGGAAGACACACCACATGGTGCGGAGCAAAAAATCCATGCTCTCCTGCCTGCAAATTCACATGGCACAAAAAGGGGGTCCCTCCAAAGGAGGCTCCTCTAGTGAGGGTTTCGGGCTCCATGTCAATCTGCAGGGGAGTAGCTTTGTTTTGTGTGGAGACACACCTCGTTTTCTTGGGTCATATTTTGTGCCGAGGTGAAAGAGTGCCGGCCGCGGCGAGAGCGGTATACAGGCGGCTGGTTGGTGGTTGGTGCGACAGTTGGGCTGGGTATGCCGGTTTGTGGGGTTCTCCTTTGTCTAAATGCTGGTTTCAATGGAGCCAAAAGGAAGCCAGCCGTTTGAACTGTCCCGCACCAACTTAGGACAACTCCAGTTGATTCCTTTTGAAGGTAGGCTAAAGGTTTGGATTGCGGATCTGAAGTGATTTGTGTAGGGGGTAACGGTGAAACATGGAAAGCGCCCGCTGGCAGGTTGGGGCGCCTCCCGGGCCGGGGCCTCGAAATCATGGCCCACTCGAAAGTGGCTGTGAATGGGGCGGCTCGAAAGGGAAACAAATCCCAGGCCTTGGCTTTTTTGAGGGTGTTTTTTTTGGTTTATTCTTAGTGCGTCGGTTTAGTATGGACCTTTATAGTGAGTGGGGTCCTCAAGTGGCCGATATCGGTCGAGCACTGCTCCTATGCTTCAGGTGTTTGGGCTTTCCCTCGTGGCTTTTTTGGGACATGGTCAGGACGTGTCAGGACTGGCCATGTTTGGCAGACATGTGATCTCAGGCGATTGACCTTCATCATGGGGAGTCCATATTTAAGTAGGTCGGGCCACCTGTCCAGTGCCATGTGGGAGGAAGGGTACCCCCTCACAAACGGCTTGTCGAGGACCCTGGGAAGGACCCCAGCGTCGGCGAGGCCTGCAGGCGAGACGGGCAAGCTGAAAGCCGACGGGTCAAATAAGATTTGTCTGGTCAAAACCGGACGCCCATGGTCCGTTGTCTTTTTCTTGGCGGTTCCCCGGCATTTTTTTGTGTACCTCTTTGATTTGGGGCTTTGGGGTTGGCTTGGCCTGACTCTGAGTCTCGAGGGATCTGACTAGATTCCAGAGTGTTTTTTGCTGACTAGGACTGTGACGTTTCTTTTGGCTGGTCGCACAGTTGCAAATCTAGAGAAATCCAAGTAATCTAGCAAAGGACTAAACAACAAATAACGCCTAAGCAAGTCTGACAGAGTCTGACAATTTAAAAGGTCAGAAGTCATCGGATTGATTTCTTCTGCCGATCATTTTCAGCAGCAATCAGTGCCTTTGGTTTCCTTAGACTTTTCTAGATTCCCGAGGGTTTCTGGCAGTGTTTCTTGGAGGCTAGGAGTTGAAGTGCCTTTGGCGACCGCGGCCCAAACTCCTCGGAGCCTTGGTGTCCCAGCTGGAGTTGTTGGTCTTTGGCCACTCGCCAGGGTCATCTCGTCACCAAATTGCGTCTTGAAAAAGAGTGGTGGCATTAAATGACGCCAATGCGGAAAAAAAGGCAGGAGCGGAGGTGCTCGAAAGAGCTTCTTAGACGAGGAGGGCTGGGGCCTTGAAGCTGCTTTCGGTGCCTGGTCGCTTTCTGCAGCACCACAAATTTGACATGAGCCGCAAGGAAAGCAGCGAAGAGGTTATCAAACAAAGAGGGTAACAAGTGGGTCCAACCATCAAATCGACCCTTCCAGGTCCTTTCGGAGAGTTTCCAACAAACTTACTTTGGGTGCCCCCCATTTCGGGGTGTGGGTTAAAGATGAACCACAACTTAGTAGTCCGTTGATCCAATACCTAACGCTTAGGTTGTCAGTTGTCATAAATCCCTCTCAACTCTTAAAGTAAAAAGCATATGGCTAAATCTCCTGACTGGGGTTGTGGAAGACAATTTTCGATTCGAAGGACAGTTTATTCCGTGGCGGTAGGCCAAGGAAGCGGGTGGTCCCAGAACCCCCCCCGAAGGTACGTGTCTTCTGGCAGCTCCGTCCTAACCCAAACCTTTTTTCGGTTTGGCGGCGGTTAGCTGCTACCATGCCTTGTGCAGTTGGGGTATCTTCCATATGGTTTTAGCATGCGTTGGGTGTTTGCCAACACAGAAAGCCACCACAATGGTCCAGAAAAAGAAAGAACAAAAAACGGGCAGCCAACCGACAGGTTGCCATCTGCAAGTTGGCGACCCGCAAAAATGGGCTCCATGTCCGATTAGGAGCCTGGCCCGCGCTCTGGAGCGGCCCACCGCGCTGCAGACCAACCGTGCCTCGGAGTCGAAGGAGAAACGAGGAACCGCCTTGGCTGGGCTTTGCTTGGCTGGGCTTGGCTTGGCCTGCTTGCTTCGGGGGAAGCCCCGTGGAAATGAGGGTGAAATCTGGTTTCACTACTTACGCCCCAAGCCCCAAACCAATACCCCAGGTGGCTTAGTTGATTATACAGCCACAGGCTAGCCGCAATATGATATGCAGTTGAGAACCCCTGACATGTTGTTGTTCTCTTTGGTTTTGTTGGTGTCCAACCCTTGAAAAACGTCGCACCCGGAACAAGCAAAACATATATGTGTGTGTGGTTCACCTTTGCGAGAGAGGTTGGCCTACCTCCCAAGGAATAAACTGCGCTAGGTGTGCCCCCAGTTGAGATGCAGACTTCCCGCTTCTCCACAGGAAACCACCGCCGAACAAAACAAGGTCACCCAAGACACCGAACACAGGACGGTTTGGAGAACTCTGAAGAGGAAATCACGCAGCCATTGAGATTCTAGTGTAGGCTACCAAACGCACAAAGCCAAGCAAAAAAAAGTGGAAAAAAACACAGTTCAATCGGAAATATGATAGGCTGTCAGGATGCACAGCTTCGCCGTCGCTTCAAACCTGCAAGATATGTGCACCGCTGGAACACAGCTCCTGAACAGACACACCTTCGCGTCGGAAAATCGATGGCGCCAAGACCACAGATGAGCAGGTGTGAAGACCCGAGGCTACAAGGTTTTCTGGGATTCTAAGGTGTGTTTGAACCCTCCACCCGAACGTATGAGATTGGCGTTAGCATTTATTTTGTGGGGTCTTCCAGGGCGCGTGTTCCAGGGCGCCGATTTGTTTGGTGTGTCCCCTTGTTTATGGTTTTTGTGGGCCAACCCAAAACAACTGGGAAACAGGACACACCCCCAAAGAAGACGGCCATTTAGGGCAGCTTTGTCGTGTAAACCATACCCCTTGGAGCAAGCCGCGAATAAGCCACAGGGCCGCGGGGGGGGGGGGGTAGATGAGCTCTAAATCAAGCTTCAGCATCATATTTCTGCTTTGGGGCTGGGTTTGGAGGTTGTGGCGGAAATCGGTGAATGCTTTTGTTGGTAGTGCTCAACCTTGCACAGTTGGGGGGAAGTGGCCACTGGCAAATAGGTTATTTGGACCGAAAGCACGGCTGTTCTGGGCTTGTTTGGCCCGTGGAGCCTGTTTGCCGTTTGTGGTATTGAGGTCCTTTAGGGGATTGAAATGGGGATCGGGGCCAGGCTTAGCTCAAGAAAGGCCCTAAGGCCTTGTACACTTCTGTGGACCTCCGCAGATGCGGCAACCAACCCACTTGTCTGCACCCTGCATGGCTCAAACAGAAAGCCAAAGCTGGAATTTAAGGTACCAGAATCAAACGTGTCATGTGGGTTGGGGTAAAAAACTGAAGACCGAGCACGGCCGCACCTTGAGTTCGAGAAGACGAGGCACCTTCGCCGTGCACCACTGGCAGTGCAGCTGGTGCAGAGAGGATGAGGGCTTGAGGCGGGGCTCGCCCCGAAAAATGCGACCGGGTGGCTGCGAGCTTCGAAACCGGAAGCCAAAAGTGCGCCATGGTGGGATTTTCGAGGTTGGTTGGCAGGACGCCTCATGTTCACGAGTGCTCGCGATGTCGCAGAACGTGAGTTCTTCAGCAGGTTTCAAAGCACAGGGGGGAAGCCCAACAGCCCCCAGAGGAGATGTGGGCAGCGTCTTCCTGTATGCCCCAAACGTCCAAACAGGCACCCCAATTCCAGTTGCCATCCAGGAGAAGCATACCCCTGGCAGAGATCGTCGCAGAGGCTTGGAAAGTGCCCAAGAGTTGCTCTGTGGGGTGACCTCCAACCTTTTCTCCTCACACAAATCAACATAGAGCCTGAGCGGATCCCCATGGAAGATGAATTTCCCATTGAACGGTTCTGGCGGGTCCCTTGTTAGTGGGTGGATATGGGAGGGTACATAGCTTTTCAAGGGGGCGGATATGTGGCTTGGGCCACGGCACCGCTTGTGCAAAAAATGGCTTGGCGGACCTTTTAATGGTGCAAAGGCGGCTGCTTACAGGGTTTTGCGGCGATTCGGGAGAGAGCTCAAAATTCTGAGCTCGACGCGCATGGCGCTGAACGGGGTGAATGGCTCCGTTCCCCAGCTTGTCAGGGGTATCTCATTTCAGGTTTGTGGGGCCTCTCACAAGATCTAAGTATTGTGTTTGGGTATCGGGGTGCGTAATGCAACACCCTTTGAACGACGGCTGGCTTTCGCTCCTCCTCTCAGGTAAGGGGAGGCGCACCCTTATCACTCCCGCACCCCTATGTTACCAGGCCAAAGACCATCCGCGGTTGCTACAGGTGCCCCTTTTTATCATCGGCATGGGCCGTCTCTTCTTTACCTTCTGTTGTGTAAAATCAACTTCGACTCAAAAGCAGACGCGTGCGCCATGTTCGGCGCTGTTGCCAACTTGACTCGTGGATTCCAAAAAGCGACTCTAAATTGGAATCGTGGCAAGTTGCCCAGTGACCCTGGTGGAAAAAGGGGACTTTTTGGTGGGTTGACAATTTCTAGTGGGGAACCTGGCCCGTCAACAACTGGAGAGGAAGAAATCAGTTTCAGAAGAAGCCACCGCCGGTGCTGTTGGCACCCACCTCCGTGATACCGCTCGGGAATCGTAGGCGCAGAGGTGGTCGTTGTGCACAACCAAAGTTGGGTGGGTTTTGAAGTGAAACCCAAAGAACCCGTTGCCATTTGGGTCCCATTTGAGCCCCGTGGTTGCCACCCTTGCCATTTTAGTAGGTGGTTCTAGTGCCTGGCTTAATTGTGGTGTAAAGCCTGAATACGCCTTTATGACCATGTTGGTGGAACAAAAGGCAGCGGGTTTTGGGCGCTGCTCATAATGGAGACCCGATCCAGAAAGCAAGATCTCCTTCGTGTGCTTCGCTTGTCCGCCAGGCGGAAAGAGAGACCAGGGAAGAAAAAAAAATGGTCCGCGGGGAGCGCGCAGCCAGGGCCAGGAGTTGCAACAGTTGGATTTGTGGGGCGACACGTCTCCCAGGGTTCCTTGTTTTTCCCCTTGGAGGGTTGCTTTGAACCTTTTTGGACATGCCTTTTCAATGTGGAGTTTCGTTTGGAGTGATAGTCGAAGGGGAAATGGGAGCCCTGTCTCCATGCTCTTCAACCATTCTAAGCGATGAAACATTTAAGCTCCTCGCCCTGTTTTTTGAAGCCGCTCTCGAATACTTTCATTTTCGATGAGCTCGGGTCGATTTGTCCTGGAGGAAAGTTACAGGGAGCCAAAGGAAGGTTGTTTAAACGAGTGTTTGAGGCTTTTTTTGAACAAGGGTTGGCCAACCATGCTTGGGGGAGTCAACTTGGATGCTGGGAGTTGCAGCCAAGCTTGCCATCAGCAGCCACAATGGGATGATTTTTTTAAAGAAACAAGATGCAGCTCCCTCTTTAGTTTAAGATCCAGGATGAATCCAAGCGGATTTGGCAGGAGTGGATGGAATCACTCCGGATTTGTGTGTTGGCGGTTCAGAGATGGGTTTGTCTTTTTGGATCTTGCAGAGCTCTCCGCTGATGGTTTCAACCCAAGACT